CCCTAATCAAATGTTTTTGGCAACTTTAGGTTTCTCATTAAGGATCGCTGGGGGATATTATTTTAGACCATGCTTAAGCCAGTAAAGCTTACATGATAAGCTCTTCTCACAGTAGTGCTTATGTATAGTGGAACCTGGCTTGTAGTCATTATATAAAGTTCATAGTTGAAATGCTATGTACTTTGTTGTTACCTCCTTCATAATTTCTCTTGATAAATTCTGATACTTTTATAATGTAGGCAGCAAGCTACACAGATCCTGGTGAAGCAGTGCTGCCATTGCTGGAGAGGCATATAAACTATGGTTGGACATGAAAACCGAACAGATGATATAACAATTATCATAGTTCAGATCAAAGGCCTATCTAATGTATGGATTACTTGAACAATTCAAGGGCTTCTTTTAATTTTAATGTTTTTATTCTTGCATATAGGTTTTTATGAATATGTTAAATAAATCTTGTATGCCCATCAATATTTTTGACCACCTAAGAAAATACAGATGGCAAGAAAACGACTTTTTATTGTGAAAATTCTCCTGGGTCGGTATTCTAAGCTAGTAATTTGCTATCGTGCATTTATTGTATATTGTATGCCCACTAATATTTGTTTTGATCATTTAGGCAGGTACGTCTGGAGTTGGAGTAGATAATATTAATGTTAGTACGGCAACGCGGGCAAGGAGAGGAACTTCTGAAGTATCTACTACCACTTCATCGGATGTTTATTGTTCTGTGAGGAGTGAGCTCTCTGATCAACAGTGCTGTCAGAACGTAGTTTCAATGAGAAGCCCAGCTATAATTGTCCCATCTCCATCATGCCAAAGACCGGTTGAAGAGGTTAGTGCCTTTTTTTGTTTTTTTTGGTGTCTTCTGATTATGATCCCTAGTATAAGTGTCGGTGACCACTTCAGTTCAAAACTTAGATTGGTTGAGTAAGGGCTCAGAACTAGTTTATTACAATATCCCCAACACTAAGTCCTTCCCTTTCCATTTACAGTGATTGAAGAGAGGCTTTATGGAAGCTTCATCAAGTTTTGTTGTGTAATTTCTCCCACGTGGTAGGTTTCTTCATTCTGTTTTACTCTTTTGAATTACTGTTGTATATTTACTGGCTCCATATGAGTCATATTGCAAGTTTCAAATGGTGGCTTGATTCTTCCATTGACTCAAATATAGGTATTAGAGCTGCTATGCTGTCAAAAGTGATCTTGCCTCTTTTGAAGACCATTTCTACTTGTAATACGATCCATTCATTTCCAAGAATAAAAAGTTATATGAATGGCTTATCTTATGTAAGCTTCAGTTTTAATTCAATATATTTGTTGCCTTTTACCAAGAAAAATGCTGACTCTATTTTTATTTTTTAGGCAACTGAAGGTTCCTGCTTTGAGGAGCATATCTTAGGCAGCTGAAGGCTTCCATTTTGGAATGTAGAAAGCTGAACTGGTCAATGTTAATTTTCTTCTAATTCAGATTATAGAACCACATGAGAAGCACACAAAGCCAGTTTCCTGGGATGGCTCTGCCCCTCCAGATTTTAACATTGAGAGGGAACCTAAAGACAATTCGGGATTAAGGAGGAAGGGTCAGATCAAGGTAAAGAATTTGACATGTTTCATATTGAGTTCTCCAATGAAAATATTAAATCCAAGTCCTCTTTTGGCGAAAAAAATGATTCACGTGATGCTGAGCTGTAATAATATTTACTTGGGATGTTTTCATTGGAGGACTTGATAACAAAACATGTAGAAATTGCTTAGAGATTTTCCGGGAAAAGGAACTTATGCAGCACACTGGGTGCTTACAAACTGAGGAAACTCAAACACACAAGGTGGCAAACTGGGTCGGCAGAACTGCCTTTTTTTAGCATCCAAAGCAGATCCATGTTCTCTCAGTGCAGATGCTGGATCGGCTCCATTGTTGTGTGAATCAGAACAATATCTGCGTTTTTTATTTGCATTGCAAGATCAATTCCATGTAAAATGCCGAATTATTAATTTTCCTTTCCTTGGGTAGGTGAAGGAATCAAGTTTTCAATCCAACACATTTTGGATATTTTTTTTCCACGTCTCTCTACTAGATTCATTGATGCCTTGTGGCCTTCCAAAATGTTGAATTCTCAGTGTTGACAATAAATAAGTTCTTTTACATTATCAGTTTGTTAAACGGGATTAAAAAAATTACTTGTAATAGTATAGAAGCAGTAATGGAATTAATCTCTCTCTCTCTCTCTCTCTCCACAAATCTGTGCAGCTCTGAAATGCCTTGTTAAATGAATCATCATCAATACATCTGACAAAATTATACTTGTCACCTGTGTATATTGCGGTTATTTCGAAAAGTCCGCTCCAATTTGCATATAATCAATGATTTATAGATACGCATAATCTCAGCGAAGCGATGAAACTAGATCAGTGGATATCAAACAAGCGTCGTCTCATATGATTTAATTAGTCGCTTCAACTAATGATTTGACAGTTGAATTAGTGATTCGTTGATCCAATTCTTGCTTCATTTCCCGCATAAGATTAGCGAGCATTTACCTTGGCTTCGTATTTTAACTCCTTTGGAGTTTTCATTCTCGTACAAGCTACAAACCTTGGCTCCCCAACCCAGGAGTAGCCATGGATTCTGAATGCCGTATGCTGCTTATTTTGGCACACTTCACAAAGCAGCTAAACAAAATGATTTTATACTGATCAAGACAAAACCCTTGTCACCTACTTACCATATATACTGGAAAATCACTTTTAAAAAACTAATCCAAACACTACTAAATTCATCTAAATTCAGGTTTATGTCGATCAAGAATTAGTGGTTATCATTTGTATTATAGTTGCATTTTCTACATGAGTTGAGACAGACAGGAGGGTAGATAAACATGATATTCTCATTTTCTGGACAAAACTGCCTAAAAACACGCTTTGGGTTAACATATATTCTTATCCTCCCTCTTTTTTTTCTTCTTTTGACGCAATTCCCTCTATATTTGTTCCAGCGTAATGTAAAATACAAGCATCACAAAATCATTAAGCAGATCAGAAGTACAGAGAAAGCTTCTCATCTATGACATTCTGCAGCAAATTGCACTGCTCCAGTAGTCTGCTTACTTCTCAGCTTCGCTGTTTGCTTTGCCATTTGTTAGGACTTCACTTCTAGCATTGTCTAATCCATGTGAGGAAACTGTGTTATCAACGCTGGGCAGTTCATCCATTGCAGAATCCCTCAAATCACCTGGGCTAACAGTTTCATTCATCACATCATCTGTGTTCTGTGAAAGTTGAAGAGGCCTTGATTGACTCTTCATGAGGATAGGAGAGCCACATCCAACTTCAATTATCTCATCCAAAGACGCACTTTGATAAAATAATGAAGGCGAATTAGCTTCAAAGTTCACATCCATATCTGAACTCGGAGGAGAAACGCGAGTCTGTTCTGATATGTAAGCTGAAGAGACTTCGCCACTGGATAAACTCATCAATCTCCAATTGAAGATTCGACGGAAGATCATGGTCCACTGCGGAACTATATGGTAATTTGAGCCGCAAAGCTCGAGTCTAGCACATGACTGCAGCATGACATGTGCCTCTTTTGTTGCCAATGGGACTCCCATGATCTTACTAGTATCGGTCAGGTAATGAATCAAGCTACTTTCAAGCCTTAACCTGAGGTTCTCAATGTCATGTTTTGCTTTAGAGCCAACGGCCAACCAGGATAGATCATCACCAAACGAGGGGAGCTTGCAATCTTGGAAAGCCCTGATGATTTGTCCTATTTTTGGATTGGAGCTCCAACCTGATGGTGGCAAGTAGTTTTTCAGCAATATATCCTCATAACTAGACTGGTCAAGCATACCAATCTCAGGACACGCCAACCAGCAGGATTTGCATTAGCAGCAGCAACAATCTCCTGTAATGATCGATCTAAAGCTTCATTGAACACTGAGATACAGTCAGTAGGACCCAACCTCGAGTTATTGGAGCTACACAGTACCCTCAACAAGGAACTATGATAGGTATGAACAAGTTCTCGCACTCTCACATACTGTAGGGCGGGCTGCAAGGGTGACTCTCCTGCCAGCCACTCCAGCCCCTCTCTTAATCGTCTGTCACTGAAAAATCCACCCAAGTGTTCTATCTGTTGATTCTCAATAGGGAAGACAAGCAGAAAGCCACTAACGCGGGATTTATCAATATCATCAAGGCCCAGTTCATTAATTATAACAGGAGAAAATCCTTTATCATATGAACCACATAAGATCAGAAGGGGTAAGTGAGCACCAGTGGGAATTGACGTGAGAATATTATGGAGTTGAACTCTTTGAAGTTTCCATGGGATGCTCTCAGATACAAGAATAAAACTGCACTTGCCCCAGATACTGTTTCATCATCTCCAACACAGAAAGATGTGTCCCTAATTACAGAGAAGCAGCAAATAGGATCAGCACCACATTGCCCAGGAACCCATTTCTTCCCATATTGTCAGGCCAGGCGAAGAAATAACCACATCCTCGTCACAGGAAGGCATGAGCTTTGAGATCAACCACGAGCCTGCTGCACCCATTTTAAGTCCTTTGTCCGCCTGAGAACAGAGGATAATTTTCCAGCACAAACATTTGACACCTGAGTTTCTTCTTCTTCGTAGTATGTCACCGCCATTTCTGAAATATTAAGTCTTGCCCAGGACTTTTCCTGCTTTTCGTATCTCTCTCTCACGGCTTCATCAACGTCAAACTTGTCAAAGTTGCTTGGTTGCTACATAGAGAGTAAAAAAGATAAGGAAGTCAGTACATTATACTAAGTTAAGGATCGGTAAAGGTCTTGATAGTTATGTAAAAGTATATATATACACAAACATAAATTGGAGCAAAAATAAAGAGGGGAAAAGTGCCAATAAAGGGGTCACTAAATCATAATCAGCCCTACAAGAAAACTCTCACTAACCCTGCAGCTAATGTAAAAAGAAAATGCACAGCAGAATTGGTTTAAATTCACGCTTAGCAATCTTACACCAATGTAATGTCGTATAGGTGGTCCCAGTGACAACGACTCCAATGCAGCATTTGCTGCAAATTCCTTTGTTCACGTAGCATCCTCAACTTTGACGTCCGTCTCTTCCATAACCTGACAGGGTAGACATATAAAATAGATTGACTTCAAACAAGTAACAAACATAACAAATGCAAGTTAGGTAACAAAAAAAGGCAACAAAACAAGGCTAGAAAACCTTAAGAATAGCTTGAGCTTAGCTGCAGAAATTTCTTCATCTAGATCATTTTCTTCAGCTTCGTCAATTTCATCTTCGTTTACTTGGTTAACGAGTAGAGGTTCATCTTGAGATGCACCTTGGGGCACAGTATCAGCCACAGAAAATGAAAGCCATATCCTCTTGAGCTTTCTGATGGAGACAGTTTTGTCACACTCTCAAGGAGCCTTCCATCCAGCTCTGAATGAAAGATTCTCTTAGGAGAGCTTGTGAATATAGCATCAGAGTTAGTACGCTTAGTAAGTACAGATCTGGTTGGCTGTGGTTCAGGTATACCACGATTAAAGAAGCCAATTGGTGACGAAAAAGGCATAGTAAAACTATGATCAGTTTCACTATGTTCAACTGCAATCGGCATTTCCTGAAATTTCCTTCCAGATCTACCATCCTTTGGGGACAAAATAGCTTCAGAGTCGGCCATTTCTTCATCAACCTTCTCAATTGAACTAACTTCTTTGACAGATTGTTGCTCATTCTCATACTTCTTCTGTATCTGGATCTTGTTTGTTGTCTCAACAGGTGGCAATACAACTTGATCTGAGGGTGAAACATCTTCTATTATCGTTTCTGACCTTTTCTTGTGAACTAGTTTGGAACACTTGGTGGGATAATCATTATCAATATTGAGAAATGGCCCTTCCCTCACCATATATGGTTCTTCAAATGTTTTCACCAAGAACCCATGATACTCTAGCAGGCCGTCTATGTCCTCATCCTATGTTTGGTGACAAATCCACATGTAAGACGACGTCGGGAAATCCTTCCACCCAATGCCCTCCTCAAGACAAAAGGAAAGAATGAAGAGAAAAAGCATTTCTCCAAGTCAAAGCAAGAAAATTACCTCCATAGCAAGCCAGTTAGCAACATGCGAAACAGGGAGACCTTGGTTATTTTGCAAACCAGCATGTAAAGAACCAAGTGCCTGGGTACGCAACTGGTGAAGATGACAAAGCATATAAAAAAATGAGTTTGATTCACCATAAGAGAAAATTAAATAACAGTTATTTAGACAATGCAAAAGGTGAAATCAATGAACTTAACTGGGTTTTTTTGTTGCTTTTTTTTTTGGGGGGGTGTTCATGCTTAGTATTTCTTTTGGTAATTAAGTATAGTTTGTTTTTCATGCATCAAATGATTAATTTCATAGAGCAAATAAACCATATACGTCTCATCCTAGAAAAAGAAAATGCACTAGCTTGCCTTCAATTAAGTAGCACTTTCCAAGAGCACCTGTATGTATTCATCCACTTAAGTTAGGGAAGTGCATGCAGAGTCTACAAATATTACCCTAGGTTCATGGTTTGTTTTGAGCCCCATAACACATTATGCAATTCACTAAACACAAAAAGTAACAATGATACATACCTTTGCAAAGTGAGCATGCATTAGACACGCTTGAAGATAACTTGCCTTTCTAGCAAGCCGAAAGAAGGCAATAAAATTACCAGTTCGGCAAGCCCTGCACAGGCAAAGGAAAAATAATGATCAGACTGGAAACATAATAGCCAAAGTAAATTAACTTCGGTGGAAATTACAACCTTGCTACTTTGCGGGCAAACAGAACTTCTGGAGTCTGCCTGGTCTCAGGAGTCATCTTAGCAAGATCAAGAGAGAGTTCTGCCGGTTCAACCTAGCAGAACTAGTTTTCACCAATCTATCTATTATCATATAGAAACCTTAAAGATGATTTACTATACAGATCACTTACTTTATAACCAGGATGCTTGTCCAATTTAAGGAGAGCATAGTAGCCTCGAAACTCCTTCTCTGTTGGCACATTTATTCCCTTCTTTCTGTGATCATCATACATCTGAAACAAGTCTACTGAAGTTTTGTTCATCTGTTCAATGTTCAGGTGAGCATCAAATCCTTCTGAAAAGCCCTCCCC